ATAAATATGAATGAACAGAGTTAATGACTTGGTGGCTGAGTTTGCCTTCCCTCCTCCCTCTCCCCACATTCCCAGCAGCTCCTCCTGTCTCTTTTTGGACGTTGTGGATCAGAGCAATGTCCTGGGAAGGGAATTTTTGGTGCCAGGATGGATTTTCCAGGCATGTGACACTGGAGCAGCCTCCAAAGCTCTGGCATCCCTCCCCTCCTGCATCCCAAACCTAAACATCCCAAACTGAGCAGGGAAATCTCAGCTGTGGAGATCATCCCCCAGCTGGCACAGGAGTAAACAATTCCTGCTCTCCAATGGTTTCAATATGGGCAGGGCAAACCCTGCAGCAGCTCTGCAGGATCAAAGCCTGAAGGCTCAAGGAGGAATTCCAGAGGTGCTTCAGCTTTTCCTCTGCTCCCTCTGTGTTTGGAGCAGCAGATTTTGCTGCTCTTGGTTTAATCAGAAAGACTCCAAATGTAGGACCCTGCTGAGAAAAAATGAATTTTGGGAGCCAAAGCCCCAAAACATCAGCCCCTTCTCCTCTCTGAGCAGGCAGGAGCCTTTGTTTCTTGTAGGATCCATCATGTTCTTGTCAATTTGAAAGGGTTCTGTCCATCACTTAAAGATGAATTCCCCATCCTTGTGCTTCCCATTGTGTTTTAAAAATTAGAGGGAATTGGAAGGTGAAGGAGCAGTGACCTAAATCTGCTTGGATTCTGTATTTAATAGAAATATATTGGTATTTTATACAAGTGGCTGTTGGATTCTGTGCTGCACTTTCCCAAATCTTTCCAAATGCACCAAAACCTGCAGGAATTTCTGGGCCACCTGAGCCTAACTCTGCCAAGTCCATGAAAATGCTGATTTACCTTAGAAATTTCCAAGGAAATCTGTGATTCCTGGAGGATGGGGAGCAGCAGAAACTCAGGGTGTGCCAGTGAAACTCCTGCCATGGAGTTTGGTTTTTAGGGGCTGGTTCTGAATGTGGGATGAGGATGGAATATTTCCTGTCTGGTTTTGATCTCTTCCTCCTCAATTTGTTCTTAATTTGATTTCTTTACAGTTTCATGTTCTGTGGGGATTGTTTTGTCTTTTGCTCCTTGACTTCTGACCTTCCAGAAAGAGAGGATTACTTCCTCAGGAATGTGGTTTTCCTGGGATTTTCTTAGTTTATAATTAATCCTGGTTTTTAGGAAACTCCAACCCTTTTTCTCTTTATTTTATACAGCAGATCCTCCAAAAATTTGGGAGTGTTGAATCATTTCAGTCTCCACCTCCGTGTTTGTACCAAATCAAATCTTTTTTTCCTTTGCATTTCCTAGTTTTTATTTCCTTGAAAAACTGGAGAAAGATTTATTTCAGACTTGCTCTTTTTAATTTTAATTTTAACTGAACTCCCCCAGCTCTCTCCCTGTGTCTCTGATCCCTGCTGCACCTGTTGCCTTTTAAAGCTGACTTGAATTTGCCTGGTTTTGCCTTCTTCCTGAGCTTTTCCTTGCTGAGACTGGAATGTTGATCCTTGATTTCCTCTTTTCTCCCCTGTGGCTCCCTGAATTCTCTTTGCAGCCCTTTTTGCCTCCCAAGCTGCAGCCAGGATCTCTCTGTCTGTATAAATCACCCCAATCCTGCAATTTCTGAAATCACTGAATTATTTTCAAGTCTCTGGTGTGTTTTTTATGGAAAGCTTCCTTAAGGAAATGAGATTCCTTCCCCCAATGAAGCAAACTTGGGTTTTTATTGTTTTAAAATAAGGACTTTTTTTCTTTCTTGAGGCACCATTCATGAAAAGATCACTAAAAACACACTCAGCCAGTCTTAAATTATCTAAATCCTGTACTTTACTCTTGTTTTATGGGCATCCATCTTCCAAATCATTGTCTTTTGCTCCAAGTGCTGATTTATATTCCTGCCTGGATTTTTCCTGTGCTGTTCTGTGGCTCGTGGATGCTGTGCTGTGTAAAATATCAGTGTTTGATGCAGCTTTGGAGAGTAAATGATCCAAAAAGCCTCAAATCCCTTCTCCCTGGAGCCTTCCTGCCTTTTCTCTCCCATGGATTTCCCCAAGTGAGAGGTCTCATGTCCCATATGCTGATTTTTGGCTGGGTTGGGAGTGGGAGGTGCTGGGGATGGGGCAGCTGGGGCTCCCCTGCCTGCAGTCATTTGTGGGTAGGGAGCACTCAGCAGGCTCCTCTCTGCTATTGTGTGCACATTGGGGGCATTTCTCTCTCTCCTGCAGGTAAATCATGTTTTTAATGCCACTGGCAACTCCTTATCTGCTTAAAGACTCCTCCAGTGCCTTTAGGTTGAGATTTTTCCTGGTAGGAAATGCCTTGCTCAGGACCTGGTTGGAAAACAGCATTTTAGATTGCGACAGTGCCTGCACAGATTTTACATCTGAAATCCATTCTGTTCTCTGCTTTTGCTGACACCCATGGAAAGGAACCCTGCACAGCAGCAAATTGGAATTTCAGCCCATTTTCCTCCTTTCCCAGTTTGGAGACACCACACAGGGCTGTGAACTTCTCTGGGTTCTTGCTGTCACTTAGAAGTGAGAAATCTTGGGGACTTCAAAGCACTTTTGAAGTAGATTTTGGGGTCCAGTGTTTTTTTCCTGTGTGTTCTCTCCTTTATTTCAAATTGCTCCTACCAAAAAAAAAAAAAATCATTAAAGCATTGAAAAAATAAATTTTATTTAAAAAAATGATGCCACAAGAGATCCAGTTCTCCACTTGGCTCTGTTAGAGTAGTAGATTTTGAAGTAGATTTTGGGGTCCAGTGTTTTCTTCCTGTGTGTTCTCTCCTTTATTTCAAATTGCTCCTACCAAAAAAAAAAAAAAAAAATTAAAGCATTGAAAAAATAAATTTTATTTTAAAAAATGAAAAAAATGATACCACAAGAGATCCAGTTCTCCACTTGGCTCTGTTAGAGTAGTAGATTTTGAAGTAGATTTTGGGGTCCAGTGTTTTCTTCCTCTGTGTTCTCTCCTTTATTTCAAATTGCTCCTACAAAAAAAAAATAAAATTAAAGCATTGAAAAAATAAATTTTATTTTAAAAAATGATGCCACAAGAGATCCACTTCTCCACTTGGCTCTGTTAGAGCCTGCAGATTTCAGGCTTTGAGGACTCTGGGCTCATTTGTAATGCAGAGGAAACTGTGGAGCTTTTAGTTTGTGCAAACCTGGAATTTTGTGGCTCCAGGCTTCAAATCATTTGTCTTGCAGGAGCAGCCCATATCCTGTTCTTTAGGTTCTATATACAACAGCTTAGGCAAGTCCTTCACAGGATTAGGAGCCCATCTGAGAGGAAGATGGAAAGCCCAGTAAGTGGAAAAGTGGAAAAGATTATTTTACTTTGCAGGGTAGGGAAAGGAAAAGGAGAATTTTAGAGATTCCTGAAGCTTTGCCCTGTGGAGTAAAAGCATCTCTGGCAGCCTTGGCTTTGTTCACTGTTGCACCTCTGAATTTTGAATTACTGAGGGTTTGGAGTGTTAACATATTTAATGTTCAGAGAGCTCTGGCTGAATTTAGGGGGTTGGATCAGAGAATCCTGAGATGGTTTGGGTGGGAAGGACCTTAAAATTCATTTACTGGGCAGAGACACCTGCCCTGTCCCAGAGTGCTCCAGCCTGGCCCTGGGCACTGCCAGGGATCCAGGGCAGCCCCAGCTGCTCTGGGAATTCCAGCCCAGCCCCTCTTCACCCTCACAGGGAACAATTCCATCCCAAAATCCCCTCTACCCTTTTCTTTGTCAGTGTCAAGCCATTCCCCTTGTCCTGTCCATAGAAAAATCCACCTCCCTCTTTTTCAGATGGGCAAATAATGGATTTTAAAAGTGTTTTTTTTTTCCCCATTCTGCAGCCAAGGGGGGACTTGGGGCTTTTTGCTCTCCAGTGTTGGTGCTTGAGGAAAATCCAAACCCCTCAGAAGCTGCAATGAAATGGTGAAAGTGTGGAATAATTCAAGCTGACACTGCACAGCATTCCCAGTTAAATTCCCAGCTTTAAAGCCACTCCTCACCATGTCCATGGAACACTTTGGCAGCTCAGCACCAGGGTCTGCAGAGCTCATCCTGAGGCTCCTAAAGTGCCTGAATTCTGGGGGGAGCTGTGCAGGGATCCTCATTTTGGGCTGTGTTTTTTACTGGGTTTGGATCAAGTTTGAACTGAGCTTTAAAAGAGTCGATTTTTTTTTCTTTATATGGAGTTTTCTGCAGTTTCCTTCTTCAGCAGGAGGCAGTTTTGTACAGTCAGACTTATTGTGGGGAACTCAGTGAGGAATAATCCCTGCTCCAGCTCTGCCTCTGGAGTGCTGGATCCTCCTCTTGCTTTGTAGCAGTGCAGCTTCCACAGACCCCAGTGCAGGTGATAAATTCCATGCACATTTCACATTTTTACAATTCCATGCAGTTTTACATGCAGAACTGTGCAGGTGAGCAATCACTGACTTTTGGGGATAAGTTGTGTTGAAGAAGTCCTGGCACTGCTCAGCTTTTGCACAGGTGCAGAGCCTGGTGTGTGGGACTGCGTGTGTCCTCTCTGTGCTCCTGGAAAATACAAGTTTGTGTTGATCATTATTGTCAGATTAAGCCCCTTTCTGACCTAGACATGGGGCAACTGAGAGATGTTTAAACTTTTATTCCATTTTCAGTCTCATGAGAAGGGTGAGACAATACAGATGTTATAATTCATACCATCACAATTAGAAGACAACTATTTCCTCATTTCAGTACACTATAAGTGTTTTTTGGTCTATCAGCTTTTGCCACACCATGCTGTAAATGCCTTAAAGCCAAATTGTCCCTCGTGGGTCCCACTACAATGCATTTTTTCATCATTTTATTTCTCCAAACTATCCAGTCTTTTTTGTAAGGCAGTCTTTTTAAACTTGTTTCTATTTCCATTTCTCTCTCCACACTGTCTGTCCTATTCCAAGGCATCTCTAAGGTGTATTTATTTCTGTGGTACATTCTGCTGTATTTCTCCAATTCTCTCTTTTCCCACCATTCCAGGCCACCTGTTTTACAAGTTTGGCATCACGGAGTCGGACTGGTACCGCATCAAGCAGAGCATCGACTCCAAGTGCAGGACAGCCTGGAGGAGGAAGCAGAGAGGGCAGAGCCTGGCTGTCAAAAGCTTCTCCAGGAGAACCCCCTCATCCTCCTCCTACAGTGGCTCAGGTACAAACCAAACCTTCCCCCCCAGATCATAAAGCCCTCTTGGTTTCCCCAAGGTGAGTTTTAGTTTGGCTGCCTGGCTTTGCTGAGGTGCTGAGAGGGTGGAACCCTGCAATGGTTTGGGTGGAAAGGACTTTGAAGTTCATCTCATTCCACCCCTGCCATGGCAGGAACACCTTCCACTGTCCCAGGTTATTCCAGCCTGGCCTTGGGCACTTCCAGGGATCCAGGGGCAGCCACAGCTGCTCTGGAAACCTCCCCACCCCCACAGGGAACAATTAATTCCTCAAATCCCACCTAACCCTGCTTTCTGTCCACCCCCATGGCTTCAGCTCCTGCAGCTTTGTGCTGGAATTTTGCAGTTTTACCACTCTCAGTTCTTTGAGGAGAAAGTCCAAATACCCTTGCAGTTGTTGTTCCTAGGAGGAATCAAGTGCCTAAACCCTTCCCAGTGTGTTCACACCATTCAGTGGGATGTGCTAAATGCTGTTCCTGAAGTGTTTTCCTCTGCAGACATGAAATGTGCTGTAGGTGATTCCATATTTCCATCTAGGTATGGAGGCCTGGATAACAAATGAAAAATCCTGACCTCAGGAGTGTTCTCTGAGGACATTTCTGGCTCATGCTTTTAATATAAAGCAGTGTTCTGGGACTTTTGTACATTAGATATTAAAACCAGGGTTTTGGAAGGCAGCCCAAAGAAAAGGAAGTCAGTTTATTTGCCTGCATAAAATTTTTGGTTGCATGTTAACACTAACCACTGTATCTCATGCAAAGAATGACAAAATCTGCTTTCAATGGAAAATTTTATGTGCTGGAACAGGGAATCCCATCCAAAAATCTCAAATTAAAACAACTAATCAATGTAATGATAACCATAAGCCCTCTATGTTGATGGGATTTTTGCTTTCAGTCTTTCAGCAATCAGTATTTCAGGGTAAAAAGCAGCAGTAGGTAGATATTACAGCCTGTGCTCATTAGCCTGGACTCCTTGAGTGCTGTTGAGATTTATTATTCAAATTATTCATCTCCAGTCTGTTTTGGAGGTTTGGAGGCACCTGTGGAGATGTAAAACTCAGAGTCAGTGGATTCCTGATTCCTGTCCCCTGAAGGCTGTAGATCATCAGTTTGGGTTGGTTCCTTGGTGTGGTGATCCCATGGGACCCCAGCCTGCTTTGGGTGGGAAGGGCCTTCATTAAAGCTCATCCCATTCCAGGGACCCTTCCTCTATCCCAGGGTGCTCCAAGCCCCATCCAGCCTGGAACACTTCCTGAGGTATTCCCAAATCCTGGGACTGCAGTGCTGGGAACTCTTCCCATGAATGGGAGGACTGGGATTTTCACAGTTGTTTTTAGCAGCAATTAATTTGGCTAATTAAAAAAAAAAAAAAAAAAAAAAAAAAAAAAAAAAAAAAAAAGAAAAAAAAAAAGGTATCCTGAAGTTCACTCAGCTGTGCCCTGACTTTGGTTTCCCTGGCTCTGAGGAACTGTGGGGATGACTGAGCACAGTAAGAGGTTGTCACCATCCCTGGAGACATCAAAATCCACCTGGGTGCAGCCCAGAGCCACCAGTTCTGGCTGCCCATGGTTTGAGGAAGGACATTGGGTTAGATCATCTCCAGAGGCCACTTCCTACCTCATTTATGTGGGATTTTAAAATTTTGAAACGAATTATTGCACACACAATTAAGAATTCTGAATTATTTGCATCACAACAGGCTTGTTGTTCAAACTCACTCCTCTTGCACTCTTGTTGGAAATGCCAAAGCTTTGAGGCTTTTCCTGCTTGGGATTAACAGTTCCTGGAGCACGTGGCCTTGGTTGGAGCAGGGTGAAAAGTGACAGCAGATTTCCTCTCTGCTCTGCTCATCACATGGCAAAATTAACTCTGGAAACCACAGCAGAGCAGGAGGCTGAGCCCACAGACCCTCCAAGGCATCAACCTGCAGGGAAAATCATGTCTGGGGAGCCTGCTGGGAAAACACAAATGGATTTTCTTTGTCCTTCACCCCCAGAGATGTTAATTAAGATTTTTTTGCACTTAACTGACTGTTAAATTCAGGCAAAAGTTGCTTTTCTTGATTTTCCCTGGCTGTTTGCTTGAATCCATTGCCTTTTTTTGGAAAGGAGGTGTTGATTGCTGTGCCTTGCTCTGCTCTTGGAGCCAACATTTCAGTACCCAGCTGTGTTTTGCCCATGTTTTTTCCCAAGCAGAGACATCCATGTGGCTGCCATGATAATTTCACTGGATATTCCTTCGGAAAGGGTTGGAGTCTGTGCAGGGAGTGAGGGGTTTGGGAGGAGGATTAATTGAAAAGTGCCTTCTTCCTTTCTTTTCATTTCTCTTCAGATTGTTCAAGCTGTTATCACAATTTTCCATGTTGGAATTTTTAATTAATTCCCTGACTTTGGGATTTCTGTGCAGATTTAGGCCTGTGCTGAGGTGTCACATGAAAAACTGGATGTGCAGCCAAATCTTCAAAGCTGTTCCACACAACTGGGGCTGAGGCAGGGGGAGGTGATGGTTTACAGCTTTATTTCCATTGTTCTGGAATGGTTTTTTCCTGCTTTTTTGGGGTTTGGGGATGGTTAATCCATCCACCCTTCCCTTGCTGGGGCTGCAATGAGGAGATTGATCCCTGTCTGTGAGGGTGGAGCTGGAAAACCATTTTGAGTTCCAGAATTCCTAAGTGGGATTCTCTCCTGCTGTGCAATCTGTCCCTTCTCCCAGGGAACAAGGGCAGGATGAGAGGAGATGCCCTTAAAGTTGCACCAGGAGAAGTTCAGGTTGGAATTAGGAAAAATTCCTTCATGGAAAGGGTTGTCCAGCATTGGAATAGTTTATTTCCTGGAAATAAACTGTTCCATCCCTGGAAGTGTCCAAAATCCCATGGATGTGGCACTTGGGGACATGGTGGGTGGTGACCATGGTGGCTGTGTTGGACCTGATGATCTTAAAGGTCTTTTCCACCCTTAACAATTCCATGATTCCATGAAAATGAAAATCCTCAACAGCTAAATAGGAGCAGATTAGAAAACACCAAAGATTCTGCCTTAAAAAGTGATTTTAGCTGGGAATTAACCCCACATATCCTTGAAGGTTCTTTGGGAATGCTCTGCAGGGTTCATGTCCCAGCTGTCCCTTGGGAACTCGTGGAAAATTCTGGACTTCAGCTCTGGCTCCTCCTGCCAGGGATTCTCCCCAATCCCAGCTGGAAAAGTGAGGCTCGATGCTTTCCAGGGGTTTCTCCCTGCTGACAGCTCCTCTCCCCAGGCTGGCTCTGCTCCTCATGCCTGGGTTTGTTTGTAGTGGGGAATGTTTATAAAAGTGGATAAATATTCCCTTTGTCTGCCCTGAGATGAAGAGGGGGGAAACAGGACTCAGAAAGGATGTTTTGTTTTCAGATGTGGCTGAATCCTCTCTCATCTGTCTTCCTAAGAAAGAAAACCACCAAAAAAAAAAAAAATCCAACAAAATAGAGCAAAAAAAAAACCCAATTTCAGTTGTTGCAGTAAAGCCAAATTTAAATCCATTTATAGGTGACCATAGGAGAGGTGCAGGGTGATTCCATCCAGGCTGTGGCTCCACTTGCACCTTCAAAAAGCACAATAATTTCTGTCCTCTGAAGCCAAAAATGAATTGAAAATCAAGACTTTTGTGCCCTACAGTTAAAAATGCATTTCAATATGTGAATATCATAAAAGTATATAAAATATAGATTTCTCTGCTGCAGGTTTGACTTCTTTGATAATCATCTATCACATCACTTAATCAGCAAATAAATATCATAAATGAAGGATTCTGTATTTGCACACTGTGGTGTGGCTGAGGTTGAGTTGTAATTGAGCTCAGTTGAATTCCATAGGGAAAAACTGGGAAACACAAAGGAAAGACCAAGCCCTGAGGGAAATAATCCCTCAGAATCCTGGGGGAATTTGTTCCTCAGAATCCTGGGGGAATTTGTTCCCCAAAATTCTGAGCTGAGAGCCCTGAAGGAGCAGATGATAGCACTGGATTTTCTCAGTTATTTCAGCAAAATGCTATTTGTAAATTAAAAAACAGAGAAATGAATTGCATCAAATGTTAGGAATAAATGAATGGAAATGGGTGAAAAAGTGCAAGGCAGAGGCTCAGGTAAGGATTTTCCCAGGATATCCATTCCTTCCAGTGGCCATGACAAATCCAATTGTATCCCAGTTGGAAAAATCCCATTTTGATTTGGTTGATAAATGCCATATATCATTTCTTTGGTTAAAAAAAGCCATTTTTATTTGGTTTGGGCAATTTTTCTGCAGTATCCAGCACTTTACAGCCAGTTGGGATTCCCCAATCCCACCTGGAATTCCATACAGCAAATTCCACTCTACACCAGAGCAGGAGAAGCTGGAATTGCACAGGGAGCACCAAGGCTGCATTTAAGGAATTATAAAAGCTCTGCATTTACCTGCTGAGATGTGAGGGGTTAAAGGTGGGCCCAGCAGGCAGAAAAAAGTGGATTTGTTGTGTTTCCCTCAGTTCCTGTGGAAATTTGTGGCTGGAATTCTGTGTTCCAGCTCATTCACAGAATCAGAGCTGCCTGAATTGTCGACCAACCCAACTTTTCAACAAATAAATAAATATTAACTTGGTGGTTTGGAGTTCCCAGTTCCCATGCTCAGACCTAAACCTCAAAATTATCTTCGTGCCCAAACATTTGCAGACAGGAGGAAAAAAAAAACCCTTAAATGGCTGATTTTATTTAAAGAACATTCCCATTAAAATATTTGAGTGCATAAAACTCATTCCTGCAGAACTAACAGTGTGTTTGCAGAATAAATCTTGGAGTATTTAGTAGAGATATTAAAAATGAATGGTTTCTGTCATTTTTACTTGCCTTTTGCCTCTTCTGTTTAGAAGAATCCTTTCCCTGCAGCTGGAAAACCTCAGAGTGGATCTATGATGTGTCCATTACAAGTTTTTACTCTCTGGAAATCCCACTGAGGTTTTCCTGGTGGTTTTTGTCCCTGTTACATGAAGATCACTCCCATTTTTTATGTTTAACTTTTCCTTTTCAGGGACATTTCCACTCTGCAGTGTGAGTTATGTTTAAATTTAATAAATCAAGAAATCCACCTGTCATTTTGAGGTTCAAAAATAAAATTCCAGACCTCATGTGTGTCAGTATGAATTGTAGGGGATGGATCTTGGAAAACAATTGGGAGATGCCCTTTATTTATAATGATAAATTAGAAACAATTTATGACAAAATAATAATGATAATAATAATGATGATGATGATGATGATGATGATGATGATGATGATGATGATGATGATGATGATAATAATAATAATAATAGCAATAGCAATAATAATAACAATAAAATTAAGGAATAATTGGTAAATATCACTAATAAATAATAATATTAACTACTAATATTATGTTAATTAATATTATAATTAAATATAAATTATTGTTATTACTAATATGATGATTATAAATAATTATAATAATGATTTCATTTCTCACAATAATTTCATTTCTCACAATAGGCAGGATGGGTTTTTAAAGGCGTCCTTGGGGTGGTGGTGGCAGAAATTGTTCTCAGATGACCAAAAACATTGAATTCCTCAGCAAACCTCTGTGATTTTGTTTTGATGGGACTTTTCCAGCTGAAGAATCTGGGATTGAGATCCCAAAATGTGCTTTTTTTTTTAAAGCAGGAGCTGTGCCAGCCTTTGGAATTCTGTGGGTTTGCAGCAAACCCCCCCCCGTGCACAGGAACACGAGCGGTGAATTGCAGGCATGGATTTGATTGCCGGGGGGTTTTAGGAGCGCTTTGGGGGATGCTGCACGTGCCATAAATTGGGCTTTGGTCTCTTTTGCTGCAGAGGGATCCCAGAGCTCGGTGTCAGCCTCCAGTGAGCTGCAGCAGAACCAGCCCCAGGCCCTGCACTACGCCCTGGCCAACGCTCAGCAGGTCCAGATCCACCAGATCGGAGAGGATGGACAAGTGCAAGTAGTATGTGCTCCCCTTGCCTTCATCCCTGCTGCCACAGCAGCACAGCCTGCCCCAGCTGCACTGCCATGCTGGGGGAATCACAACCTCTCAGCACCTGGGGTGTCCAGAACACAAATCCTGCAGGTTTATGGGAAAAAATAAAAATTAGAGTTATTTGACAAAAAATCTCCATGCAGGATTTCCTCACGCAATCAACGCACTTTGGTTGTTAGACAGAGAATTATCAGCCTGTTCCTGGCTGTGCTTACTCAGTGATTTATGCTTCTGGTGTGATTCCACAACAAAATCAGATGTGTTTATTTGTTTTTTTTCTGTAAAACTGCATTCACAGGCACTTTTGGACATCTGGGAGATGTGTTCTTCCCATGTGTGTTTGTTGAGCTCTGTGTCTATCAGTGAAAGTTCTAAATATTGACATTTTTTAAGCCTGACACTCCCACCACAACTCAGGCCTGATGGTTTTTATCTGTGGTTTTAGTGCACTCTGAAAAAATCCACCTTCACTTTAATTCTTGTGTCCCACAGGGCACTACAAGGACTGTTTGAAATTCAAATTCTTTTTAAGAAGTGTCCTCAGCGAAATAATTCTCTTTGTGCAGGAACTGGGTGGAAATCTTCCTTTTCCACTTCACTTTTGCCATAACTTTTCAATATTATCCTGGGAATTTCTCTGTCTTTTGAATTCCATGTAGATTTTAAAAGTGGATTTTCCTATGGATCTGTGATGACTGAAAAATACTTCTGAAGTCTTGAAAGACAAGATAGAAAGGAAAATTACATGAAATATATGACTTTAATAGAACAGATGGTTTGTTTAGAGATGGAAGTGATAAAAACTTGCCTCATTAAAAGACCTGGACATATTAATTATCCTTCAAATTGTGGAATCCAGGGAAAAACCTGCTATAAATGGATCTTCTAAACATTCCATCTTTTTCCTGGGAGCACTGAGAGTTTGATGTGAAGGAGGGGAAGTGATTTTAATCTCCCCCTGGGCTGGGCAGTGCTATAATTTTCTCTGCAGCCCCTATTGTCAGAGGGACACTTTCAGTGTGGTTTTTCTCCCTATAAATAGGCAGTTTCCTTCCAAAGGAAATGAAACTGTTGGAAATAGAGGGATCTGTGTGTCTTTGAAAATCACAGGCAATTGTTCTTGTGTTATAAAATCAGAGGGGCCTTTGACAGAATTCCAAATGATTATCTTTCATCTCATGCAGGCATATTAAAATGAACACAAAGCTTTATAAAACCTCCAGGAGGTTATTTAGAATCCAATCTCCCCTCAGGTAAATCACAGGGGCTGGGCTGGGCAGGATGCACAAGGAATTCCAGCCACTCTTCTCCCTGCTGGCAGCAGATGGGACCAGGAGAGTGCTGGGAATGGGCAGCAATTCCAAATATTACAGGATCAAAACCAGGGCAGATTCTCACCAATATAAATCAGGGGAATTGTTCAAATTAATGATTTCCTGCCAGATCCCAGCAGCTGAGAGTCCTTGGCGTGGTCTGTGCTCCAGTGAACGAGCAAAAATAGGTGGAAAATGAGACTGTAAACCTCACTCTTGGAGATATTTCTTTGATTTTATTTATTGTTGATATATCTGCTCTAAAACTGAGTTTTCCAGATATTTAAATTCAATTAAAGTTTCAGTCAACAAAGCAAGTCAAACCCCAGGCTTTGTGTACCAGTCAAAAAGGCAATAGAAAAATACACTTGTTAGATGATGTTTATTATTATTATTATTATTATTATTATTGTTATTGTTATTGTTATTCCTCCTCCTGTTTTCCTTCCCCTGAAGTGGAAATGACCCAGTCTTTGGTCCAAGTCCCTCTGTTTTTATTTCTATCCAGAGCTGGGGCAGTACAGGTGCACTTTGCATTTTTAAAGCTCCTCAATGGTTTCACTGCACGTTTTGCTTCTCTCCATGAAACTCTGCTGCCTGCAAGGCAGGAGCTGCTTCCTGGAGCTGTGATTTTCCTCTGATGCTCCTTGGTGTTTTCTTTTGTTGTGGATCCCACAGGGCCATCTCCACATAGCCCAGGTGCCCCAGGGGGAGCAGGTGCAGATCACGCAGGACAGCGAGGTGAGCAAAGCCTGGGGGCTCAGGGAAAATGGGAAATGGGCTGCAAGCAGCAGAAAATGTGCTTTAGAACCTGGTACTTCTGCCTCTGGGCTCTCAGGGGTTTCTTTTTAAATTGTTCTTATTTATATTTATTTTATTTTTATTATTTTTATTTATTTTCCCTTCCCTCACCAGCCAAAACAGCTCAGTGTGTGTTGTTTCTTTTTCATTATTATTATTATTTATATTTATTTTATTTTTATTATTTTTATTTATTTTCCCTTCCCTCACCAGCCAAAACAGCTCAGTGTGTGTTGTTTCGTTTTCATTATTATTATTTATATTATTTTGATTATTTTGATTATTTTTCCCTCCCTCATCAGCCAAAACAGCTCAGTGTGTGTTAATTGTTGCATAAGGCTGATGATCTTTGGAAATTTACTACTGACAGAGTTTAATAGGAAACCAGGTGCTTGCAGTGCTTAAAAATGAAATTATTCTGTTTAGGTTGATGAATTAAACGTGGTCAGAACACTCAGGGCCTTTAATGGTTGACCAGGGGTTGGAGAAACCTTCAGCCACCAATTAATAAAGAAATATTCCAGAATGAATTTACCCCCCATTCCTGACCAGCTTATCTGGCACTGCAGTATTTGCTCTTCTTAATTTTTTTTTCCAGAAAAATAGTTCAATGGAATGGGATGGATAAAGGGGTATGGATAACTGGAAATGGATATAAATTCAATCCCAAACCCTTCAATTTAGGCTCAGCTCCCAAATCCAGGTGGATTTCCCTGTGTATTTGCTGCAGCTATTGGTTATTTAAAAATCTCCTGACTGCTAAAACTGCTCTTGAATTTCTCATGCACTTTGTTTAAATGCAGAAGGAATAGAAAAATCAGGTTGAACATTAACACAGGCAACAATTTGAATCTGTCCCATTTCCCTGTCAGGGTTTTCCCTTGCTGGGAAGTGGATCTGCCTGGCTTGGTTTAATCCCTGTCCAAAGAACCCAAATCACAGCTCATAAAACCACTTTGTGAAGGAATATTGTTAACACAGGCAGCTACTGGAGAATAAATATTATCATAAAAATTCTATAAATATTATAGTTAAAGGCTTGTCCTTTGAAGGCCCTGTCAGGCCTTGAGAGGGAGAAGAAAGGATTCAAATATCCTGGCTCTAAAGTGTGATGCTGCCATAAAACTGAGGGAGTTTTTGGGTCAAGAACCACTAAAAAACTGATGATTCAGCAGAGATTGCTGGACTGGATCCTGAGGTTCCAGCACAGCCTGGATCCTTTGGCTCTTCTTGTCTGTGGGACTTTCAAAGGCTGCATTTGTCCCTGACAGATGAAAACATCTGGTTTTAAATTGATGACAATGTACACAAGTGAGAGAGGAGCTGCCAGCAGCAGAAACTGCACAAAAAAGGGGATTTTGTCCTCCAAATTGTGCTGTTCCACTGCAAGGCTCTTTTGGGAAGCTGCCTTTCCTTAATCCAAGTGTACTTTTGGAAAGACATCAGTGAGCATGTGAATAAAAACTTCATGTCATAAAGATTTCCTGATTGGACTTTGGAGCTTAAAATACTTTGATATATTGAGATTTTTTTATTATTATGATAGGCATAATCCCTGTAATAGAACTGTGTTGGTTTTCAATATGGAATGAGGATAAATAAAAAGCAAATAATAAATAGCTCTGCAACCCTGTAAAAGTGTTAGATTGCTAATTCTGGGATAGGGCTGGATTTCAATTTGCAGGTTTATATCAAGAAGGAAAACCAGAAGTTTTACCTCAGAAAAACTTTGCATAAAAGCAAAACATGCTGGGTGGGAAAGGTCCTTGCTGTTGAGGCTGAGTGGAGACTGATTGCCTACAGAACTTTAGAAATTCCCAGATTTCCTTCACACTGAAACAGATTTTTCTGCAGTTTTTCATTGCCAAGCTTGTGCTGATTGTGCCTTGTCTCCTTCCCCAGGGGAACCTGCAGATCCACCAGGTGCACGTGGGCCAGGACGGGCAGGTAGGAGCAGCACTGGCTGTCAGCAGCATTTCCTTGGCCTTGGATGGAGATGGGGACAAATCCCCATTTTTAGTGCCTGTCTTAAAGAGCCAAGCCTGCTCTGCTGCTAGAAATAACTTGCAAAAGGATAAAACCTGATGGAAATATTTGAGAGTTGGCCCAGCTTGGTTCAGCATTCCTGCAGGATGTTTGCTCCCTCTGTTTTCTCCCAACTTTGCAAAGAGGAGCTGGGTTGAGTGCCCAGAATGTTCCTGTCTGCTCTCCTCAGTCCCCAGGAGCCAACATTTCTTGAAAAAATTACTCTTTTTTATTTACACTGTATCCTTGTCCATGGCATGGCTGTCCTGAGGGAAACAAATCTGCTCCTGTTCTGGTGGATGAGAGGTTTTTTGAGGTGCTTCTGCAAACAGCAGGTGAGGAAAAGCAGCTTTTCCTGGGCTGAGCAGTCACTGAGCGTGGAACTGAGCTCAGGATTCTCAGGATTCCCAGATCTGCTCACATTTGATCTCAGACACACTTGAAATGTTAAATTCTGCTAAAACAGAGCACAAAAATCATCCTGCAAGAAGCTTCCATGCCACATGAATCAGAGTGTGATTATTATTATGTTTAGTGTTGGTATATCTGTTTTAAAACTGAGTTTTCCAGATATTTGAATGGCATTAACATTTCAGTCAACAAAGCAAGTCAGATTCACCAGAATTTGTTTGGTTCCTGGTGAATCTGAATAAATTGGGAAACATTTGGGATCCTGCCTGGGATGAGGCTCTGCCATCAGCAGGGTTTCCATTGCTGGGAAATTTTGTAGTTATGGTTATTTTTTGGTGAATTTTGTAGTTATGGTTCTTTTTTAGTGGATAAAAACCAGGACAAAACAAATATTTAAGGGATTTTTAGCTCCTTTCTGCAGTAATTACTGAATCAGAGTGTGAGGAATTGTTTGGTTCCTGGTGAATCTGAATAACTTGGGATATATCTGGGATCCTGCTGGGATGGAGGCTCTGCCATCAGCAGGTTTGGGGCTCACAGGAGCCCCCAGCACTCTGAACTTGGCAGTATTTGGATTTCAGCATGAAAATAAACCCCTGGAAATGTTCTTTGCTCAGGGATGCATCAGAGGTGCTTTTCCAGGAGTGAATCTTGTGAAGGTGATTTTTTGGAAATGTTATTTTGGTATTTATTGGGGGGTTTTCCCCTTTTCTGTGAATTATTGCTGTCCAAATGACACCTTAATACTGGGTGGGTTTATATCTCTCTGAGTGTGGTACATAGATTAAATTGAATTTATCTGTAATTAAAACCTCACAGCGTTATTTTCCCCTTGCATTTCCTATTCCTGTGGAAATTTGTGTCCCCACATGTCTGTGCATTCACAGGGCTGTGTCAGGGATGTGAGGCAGGGAAGAAAACCATGATTAATGCTCTTTTCTGGGATTTCAATGATGTTATCTGTCTGTGCTATCACTCAGATTTGGGATAACCTCTCTCCTGCCTCAGTGGTTGTTGGCTGTACCCACAGGATGGGAAATCAGTTTTTGACATCCAGGTTTTAGGGAATGTTTTTTTAACTATCTGTGCTCTGAGCTCTGCTTTTAAACTTTGGTTAGAACAAAGGAGGAAGTGCTGGGTTTTTGCTTTTTCCTCACTCACTCAGCTGCATTTTGGTGTGAAAGAGCTTCAGTGCCTTGAGCATCACCAGGAGCATTCCCAGGAGCCCTCAGCTCCTCCTGAAGTATTTGCTGGGAAATTGGTATTTTTAGTGGATTAAAAACCAGGAGTGGGCAGAGATTTGGGGGATTTTTAGCATTAAATACTGAAAGCTTCAACAGCAGCTGAAGATCAGAGGTGGGTGAGCAGAGGGGAGCTCTGGGGCTGCTCTGTAGGACCTGTGAGCCCCCAGAACTGCCCAGGAGCAGGAGTTAAACCAGCTCAGCTAAACCCTGCTGGTGGTTTAAGGCTGGGAGTGGAGCTGATCCCTTTTCCTTGGCACCAGGAGTGGGATGAGAGCAGGGAAACACAGCACAAAGCAGCAGCTCCAAGAAACTCCTGGAATTTCCCCACCTGTCCAATATTTTCCAGGCTTTTTCCTGGATCTTTTGAAGCCTAATCTGGATAATCAGGAAATGGAGACTCGGGAGTAACGTGGGGCTTCTGTGGCTGAGTGTTTTCAGCTGAATAATAAATATTTCCTCACTGAAGGCTGAACCTGAGCCTGGCTGCTGCTGGATGCTCCCTGGGAATATTTCCCAGTGGAAATTCCTGTTTTCCATGATTTTCTGGGCACACAGCAGGGGCTGGGCGTTCCCCTGGGCAGGTGAGGTTTGGTGCTGCAGCTGCTCCATCCCAATTGCAAGTGAAAGGTTCACAGAGCAGGAACTTGGGAAGTTCCTGGGAGCTGAGGCAGAGAACAGCACAAACCTTGGTGAGATGTTAGCAGGGAAATCCCCAGGGTGCCACAGGTGCTCAGGTACCAAATCTTGGCTTTTCTGCAGAATTTTGCTGATTGTACTTTCCCCCCTTCTTGCCTTCAGCGTCCTGGTGGTTGCTCTGAGCTCAGATTTTGTTTTTCTGGCATCCCTGTGCATGGAATGAATGAAATCATTCCAGAGGAGCTCTGTCTACCTCCACATGTGTTCTATTAGCTGGAAGTTTCAGATTTCAGTGCACGTTTAATAAAAACCCCAAACTGCAAAAATAATTAAAGCTTCACATTAGCAGAACCTTGAAACCTCAGAAAAGTGGGAATTTCTTTCTGCATTTTATCCTTAGGAATTACCAGAAATTTTCACTTTTGTCTCCTTTGATTACCTGCCTCCCTCTTCCCCACCTCCATCCTTTTTTTCCTTGGAGTTTTGGTCATCCCAGGAAATGTTCAGTGTGTCCTGTGCCTCAGGGATACCCCTGGGATATAAAAACCAGCACAATTCCAGGAGTTTCCCACTCCTTAATTCTGTTTTTTAGCCATTCCATGTTACACACCCTCACTGCCAGTGTTTCTTCAATTTAGGGATTAATTAAGTGGCACCAGGGAAATGGTCTTTAATTATTGCCTGGTTCTTAAATGGAAAAGTTGATGTCCTTTAAAATCTAAAATAGGATTGTGTGTGTTCAGGGAGAGCCAACGATTTGTTCTGCTGCAGGGATGAAAAACTGGGGACAAATGCAGCATGGAATTCACTGTGGGGAAGTGGGAAAAGCAGGAAAATCCAGGATGGGGCTGGCAGGGAAAAACCAGCCGAGAGTGCAAAGAGCTTTTGGAGGAGATCAATCTGCAGGACTGCTTCTGCCAGGCTGTTCTTCCAAAACCAGAAAAAGTTGGGATTTTGTGAATTGTGGACACAAGAGTGTCCCAGGAGAGCCTGGAATCAGAGGGGTGCTCTAGACAGGGAGGGATCCTGTCCTGTCCCACCCCTCTGCTCTAGGATGAGGCTTGGGATGGAGCAGGAATTGCATTTTCTTTCCCTGAACTTTGCCTCTGATGACTTCAATAATGCAGTGTTATCCAGAATGGAATATATTAACCTAAAACTCAATGTATAACCCCAAACTGAATATATTATCCCAAAAATCAACGTGAATTTTTAACAATGTTAAATGTTGTTAATGTTAATTTTTGAATTCCAAGTTTTCCACTCCCAGACCTGTTTATTCCCATGTTTTTATTCCTGTCTGGAGCAGGGATCCATTAGCACTCCCTTGAAGTAATTTAAACCTCTCAAAATTGACCTTTATTTCATTTACCAGGATGGATAAATATTCTCAGAGAATTCTTTTCCAGATATTAAAATATTATTAAAAGATGGCTGTTTAAATTATCCCAAAATAAGACAAGAACCTTCTAATGCAATTTTTAACTTGCACAAATTTAATTTGCACAGATTATGTACAAATTTGATTTTTATATAATTCATTTAATTGGAATATTCCAGATTTCAATACACTGCAATGCTTTATTTGAGTTGCTCAGTCACAAGTGAATCCAAGGGAGGAATTTTTCCCTCTCCCCAGCCCAGGAGCAGCAGAGGGCAGTAGCATTAAGATGATGCTGAATTGTTTTCTGAAGGAATTGAGAGGGAATTTGGAGGGGGGAAAAATGTGGAAATTCTGTGCTCCTGCTGCTGTTGCTGTGGAATTCCAAAAGGTTTTCCCAGTTCCAGCCCAGCTCCTGGAATAACACACATGGAGAAATGCTTGTTACGAGAAAAAAATTTAATTAAAAACTCACTGCAGCTCAGCTGGAGCTTAAAAACTCCTTGATTGGTTTGGAAAGAAATTAATTATTATTTTGAACTGATAGTTCTTCAGGAATTGTTGTAAATTGTCCTAAATTTGCTCCTGGTTTTCGGAGCAAGAAGGAAAAGAAGAGTTTGGAAACAATTGTGCTTTGTGCAAACTCTGTGAAATCCCAGAATATTTATGGAAACTCTATTTATGGATAAATAAAAGTGTTTCAATACTTAATTATACTTAAATAGAAGCATTTTACAGGCAAGATTTTTTAGGTTTTCTTGAGGATTTTTCTGCACAAACTTTTTACCTTGGTGTTCATAGAGCTGGTCCCCACTTTGTCCCTCAGAGTAATTAATCCAAACCACAAAACTCACCCTATTTAATTCTGAAAACTTAATTTTTAGGTAAAGTAGTATTTTAGCAAATGAAAATGGAGAAATTTTCATTTGAAGCAGTCCTAAAACTTGGGATTAAAAAAGGTTTGAAGGAAAATTCTCTGACTTGGTGATCAGTGTCATCCAAAATATCTCCAGGAAAATGAATGTTGTAAGGAAAACAAGAATATTTCTGTTAAATCTGGCTTAAAAATGAAGTGTAATAAATTATTTATATCTACACATGTGTATGTAACACAGATTTCTGCATGATTAATTTGTAGTTTCATTGCAGAATTTAGGATGGGTTTGGAGGAAATTTGCACTTAATTTGGAAGCTTAAAACAGGATAAAACAGTGCCCAGGAGGATAAAAACTGAGCTCCAAAACTGAAAC